CAAGATTTTTCCATCAGAATAAATTTTTTTTTAATATGAAAAATGCACACACACGTTACGAATGCCAAGATTTATTAAACTAAAAAAAAAAAGTCAAAAGTCAGCTCGAAAATAATAATAATGATGATGATGATGATAATATTAATAAATTCACTTTTACTCTCCCTCCAATTACCGCGTTTGTGTTTTTATCCTGAGGGAAAAGAAAAAAAAACGAGAAGGGAGCAAAAAGTAAAGCAGCAAAAAAAAAAAAAAGTGGAAAAGGTTAAAAGTTTAAAAAAAAAAAAAAAAAAACAAATTTATTAAATGATGATAATAATAGCAATGATAATGATAATAATAATAATTGAAGAAAATGAAAAAGGGAGAGGGGAGGGGGAAAAAAGAAAAAAAATAAAATTCGTTTGATTTGATGTGATAAATTAAAGAAAATGATTTTTAACATTTCGACGGTTAACAAAAAAATATTAAAAAAAGGGGGGGTGATGAAAGGGGGTTGTGAAAGGGAGGTGTGAAAGGGGGGAAGAAAATAAAAACAAAATTGACCGAATAAGAATAATTTAAAACGGGGAGGTGAGAAGAAAAAGGGGGGGAAATTTTTTTTATGATTATTTCATGTTTTTTTTCCCCCTCGTTTACTACTTTTTTTTCCTTTCTCTTTCTTTCTCTCTCTCTTTTTGTCTTATTCATATTTTTCTCTTTCTCTCTCTTTTCCTTTTTTTTTTTTTTTTTTAAACTTTATATTCAATTCCATTTTCTAAATATTATAAAGTTTGAAAATTAAAAGTTTAAAAAGAGAACTTTTTCACCTGAATAACATAAAACATGTATCTTTCATATACTTTTTCCTTTTTTTCTTTTTTTTTGCGCGCACACACACACACAGACATCCACAAATATATATATTTTTTTTCAATCGTATTTTCCACTTCCTTTTTTAAGTGGTTGTTTGTAAGAAAAGTCTGCCGTGATTTTTATTACCCCCCCTCGCCCGCCCGCTCACCCGCCCTCCTTCCTTAATACCTAAAAAACTTTTATCGTCATCACATTTTCAGTTTTTTTTTTTTTCTCGTTTTTTCGTCAACGATTTTTTTTCTTCCATTTTTTTCCTTTTTTTTCCTTTTTTCCTTTTTTATTTTTAAATTGATAGAAAAAAAAAAGGAAGAAGAAGAAGTAATTTTTTTTCGTTTGACCCTGACGATTAACACCTGTATAAATCATATTTATTCAATTAGTGACACGAACAAAATAACATTCAATCGTCGTTTTTTTTTCTTCCTTTTTTTTCCTTTTTTCCTTTTTTTTTCTTCCTTTTTCATATTTATTTATTTTCTCTTTTTGAAATTCAAATTTCATCATATAAATAGAAAAAAAAAAAAAGTCATGACGACGGAAACGAAAAAAATATTATATTATAAATCGTGGGAAATAAAAGAAAATTTTCTTGAAGTGTTAATGACCTTTAATCACTTAAAATATGTTATCATTTAAAAGGCTAGTAAGCGATGCTTTGCCGTGATGACGTAACAATTTTGAAAAAAAACGCGCGTTTGAAATTATTAACCATCATGCGTCTTTTCTTTTTTTCTTGCATATTATTTATCTATCGGAAATTATGCTTTGATAAAATAAAAAAAAAATAACAAAAATAAAAGGGGGGGGAAATCCAAAATCGATTCCAGTTAAAAAAACAAAAAAATTATACATGTAAAGAATTTTCTTTTTTCTTTTTTGTTTTTTTTTATTTTTTATTTTCTCCAGCGCGCGCACGAATGGAAACAAAAAAAAAATTCGATTCTCATCTCCCGAATAAATTATAAAAAAAGAAAAAAAAAATTTTCTTTTTTTAATTTTTTTCCGATGGATTTTTACAAAAAAAAAAAAAAATAAAAAAAAAAGGAATATTAATAATAATAATAAATGTAATAAAAAAACGTAAAATTTTCTTTCTTTCTTTTTTTTTTTTTTTGATTTTGTCTTCTGCTTTTTTTTGTAATTTCCTAAAGAAAATTTTCTTTTTTGTTAGTTTTTCTTCATATTGAAAAAAAATCGATTTTCAAAAAAAAATATTAATATTATTATTATCATCATAAAAATTTTTTCTTTGTTGTAAGATTTTTGAATATATCCGACGAGAGATACTCTCTCTCACTTTTTCTTTCTCTTTCTATGGAGAAAAAAAAATGAAAATCAAGTTCCAGTTTAAGCTTTTTGCACTTGCTGGAATGGGATTTACAATTTTTTTTTAAACTTTTAACGGTCGGCCATTTTTTTTTTTTTTTTTTTTTTTTAATATGAAGAAAGAGAGAAGAAACGTAAAAAAAATTACTTAATGAAAATTTTGAGTAAAAAAAAAGAAAAAGGAAGAAAGTTCGAGAAACCCGTTTTTGAAAACTTTAAAACCGTTAAAAAAAAAAAAAAAACTTAAGGTTTTTTTAATTTTAATTTTTTTTTTTTTTTCAATGTTGGAAACTTTTTTTTTATTATTTATTGATGCGGAGGGGGCGAGAGGAGGAAAGTGGAAGGTGGGAGGCAGAAACGAATTGTTTTTACGTCGAGCAGGGGGGAGGGGAGAAGCGAGCAAAAAGAAAAAAAAATTTTTTTCCATTCATTTCCTTCTTTTACCTTCCCTTGCCTTTCCTTCCCAGATTGTGTCTCCTCATTTTTCTTTAATTTGTTTATTTTTTCCCGGTATCGTCACAAAAATCGATACAATTAATTGTTTAAAAGAATAACAAATTATAATAAATAAATAATTTGTTTATAAAATTTAAAAATTTTCTTTATATTTATTTTTTTTTTTTTCGTTTACTTCCTCTTCCTTTTCTGACGTCATTACTTTCGTTTCCGGGGACGTTTCGAACTCATTATCAATTTTTTTATTTTTATATTCCGCGAGAACGATTTCCTCTTGTTGTTCATTTAAAACTTAAACTCGCCCCCTTCACCCCTTTTTTTTATATATATAAAAGGGAAAATTATCGATGTAGAAGCAGAAGAAATTATCAAAACCAGAAACTCTTTTTAACACTCTTTAAATTTAATTTAAAAAAAATTAAATTAAAAGAGAGAATATTAAGATTTGAAAAAATTTTTCCCGCTTTTTTCATTTCATTTTTTTTTTGCTGTTGCTTTTCTGGCTGTTGTTGCTGCTCCTGTAGAGCCTCATTCGAGTTGTTTTGCTAATAAGAAAATTACCCTTTCTTTAAGATTACCTTTTGATCTAAAATCTACTTTCATCTTTTTTTTTCCTTTTCCTTTTCCCATTCCCCGCCCCTCACTTTTCCTCCTCCCTCAATCCTTTTTATTATTTTTTCTTTTTTTCCCTTTTGTCTTTTTTTGTTTTGTTTTTGTTTTCTGCTTTTTTATTTTTTATTTTTAATGCGACGTTAAAAAACAAACAACGCAAGAGCAGACGACAAATAATAAAATAAAACGAATTTCGATTGATTATTTGTTTTAAATTTTTAATGAAGTGCAAAAAAAAAAGAAATTTTCTTACGTATGTTTTTAATTAATAAAAGACAATCAAACGTTAATAAACAAAAGAAAATATTTCGATCAGTTAGTAATAATAATAATAATAATTATTGAAATTTGTTTTTTAATGAGATGTTTTCTAAAAGACGCCATTTTTTATTTCTTATTAACGATGTTCATATATTAAAATGAGTTGTTTAAGTTTAATGAAAAATTCTTTTTTTTTTTTTTTTTACTTTTCAAACGAAACGTAAAAATTATCATTATCATCATCATCATTATCATCATTATTGACTTTGGTTTTACTGCGATTGTATAAAAATGACGAGAAAGAAAAGAAAAAAAAAATAAGATGATTTTTGTGACGGTAATTAAAATCAATGTGGAAAACAAGCGATAGTCTTATTTCCGACTGTGAGGTTTTCAGAAAACTTGAATTCGAACCGGAAGTTTGTTTGTTGTTGTTGAAAATTTGTGTAATTTTACCTCAAGGCCAATTTACACTTCTGGTTCATGCATAGTTTTGTAAGATAAAAACCGGATATAATCCTGAAAAAATGTCTACGTCGCAGTGAATTAACAACGGCAACAACAACGGCGGAAAAGGTTTCGGAAAAACAAAAAAATTTGGGGTAGTAAAACCGGAAATAATTTCAATGGGCTCCAGCCATGTCACACAATCGTTTAAAAAACTTTAAAATATGAAAAATTATTCTTTTTAGAATTTAAAAAAAAAATTAAAATAAAATTTCTATCTGAATTTCTAAGGCATCGAATATAAAAACAAAACCTCTTAAATATGAAATTTTGAAAAACGATGACGTCATTAAAATGTTTAAATCAAAATAATAATAATAATAATAATAATAGTAATAATATGAATTTATTTTTTTAAATTTTTTTTTGTCAAAAAATTAAAAATAAAAATGGTGGACGTTCGAACGAGATTGATTTTACATTTTTTCCGTTTCCGTTTCAAACTTTTTTTTTTTTTTTTTTTTTTTTATTATTATAAAGGGTTTTTTTAATAAATGACTCGAAAATTTCAAAACGTTTGCAAAAAATTATTATTATCATTATCATTACTATTATTATTATCATTATTATTAATTTTCGTTGTTTTTTAACGACACGCAAAAAAAAAAGAAAAAAAAAGAAAACAACCAGGCGAGCAACCGAACGAAAACGACCGACCGACCGACCGACCGCCCTTTTTGTATTTTTTTCTTGTTTTTTTTTGATTTATTTTAATTTAAATTACGCATGCACATGCACGCACCCTACCCCCCCCCCCCCACACACACACACGCACACACAACGAATAAATTAAAAGAGTAAAAAAAAAATGAAATAATAATGATTAATAACGAGGTTATATTATTTATGTGGTAAAAATTCAATTTTTTTTTACTCTTTAAAATAAATTAATTTTATGCATACTATTTTTTTATTTATTTATGTATATTTATTGATTCATTATTAATTAATTTTTACAAATGGTTGTGTAACAAAGTAAATTGTTTATAAATTGTTTGTTTGTTTGTTTGCCGGATTATTATAACGATAAGATTAACGGAAGACATTTTTTTCGTTTTTTTGTGCGACGCGATTAAATTATTTTACAAGACTATTTGTAATATTAATAATAATAATGATAATGATAATATTAAACGGGTTAATTTTGAAACAAGGAAAAGGATATTTTAAAAAATTTTTGTGTAAATAATAACAATAATACTAATAATATGACGATGGTGGTGATGATGATCATCGTTGTTACTATATTCGTCGTCCGGTGATTTGGTTAATCAAAAAATTTTTTTTTATTAATTATTATTTAATTATTTAATTATTTATTTTTATTTGTTTGTTTGATTGTATGACTGTTAGCTAGTTTGTCTGTTAGCCCAAGTGAAAAACTCTTAATTTCGTTCTACTTTTATTCTTGTTTTTCGGCGGTGGCGGACTGAGCCTAGTTTCGTTTGAATCTTCCTTCGGTTTAAAATTTAAATTTTCGCTAAAGGGAAAGAGAGAGAAAAATAACGTTTGTAATTTTTTTGCACGCACGTACAAACATTAAAACAAACAATTAAAGAGTTTGTAATGTACAAAAATATAAAACAAACAAACAAACAAAAAAAAAAAAAAAACTTACGGTTCTTCAACGTTTGATCTTTTACCACGATTCAAAATTGATGAATCTTGATTGTGAACTTGTTTCAAATCTGTTCGAGAACAACACAAAACAAAAAACATTATTCTAACATTAAAAACAAAACAAAACATAGCGTTTCATAAAAACACAACGAGTTGACACGAGTACAAACAAACAAACGAAACAAAAAAAAAAATTATTATTATTACCAAAAACTCTGTTTGAATTCATTAAACCGACTGGAGAAGAATTCTGCAATTAATAAATTAATTCGTAATTATCATCATTATTATTATTATCATTATTAACTCTACGATTTGATCTTTAACTTATGATGATAAAAAAAAAATTTTTCTCTTACCATTGATTCGCCCGAGGTCATCGTCGATGCGACGATGATAGAAAGGAAAAAAAAAAAAATTTTCAAATCCATTTTTTTTTTTTTTCTAATTAATAATAGTAATAATAATAATAATAATTAAATTGCTGTTGCTGTCGTCACCGCCGCCACCTCAATAAATGATAAATGAAAAACGTTATCGCAAAGTTTATGTATATATGTTGTTACTGTTATTATTATCATTATTATTATTGGGGTAATAAAAACGCGTTGAACGTTATTGAAATTAAATTACCATTAAATTTTTTTTTTTAATTAAGTTCACACATACACACTCACACGCAAAAAATTTTTTCGTATTATCAACGTTGGCGTTAATATCAATTTTAAAATTGATTAAAAAAAAGAAACGAAACGAAACAAACAAAACAAACAAACAAACGAATAAACGGACGAACGAACGGAAAAAAAAAACAAAAAATTTTTTTTCCTTTTTTAATTGTTTTTTATACGGCGATTCTCTACGTGCTTCTTTCATTACTTTTCCGTTTGTTTCTCCGTTTGTTTGTTTTCACGTCAAGGTGAATTAACAAAAAATAACAAACGGCCGAATGGGGAAAAAAAAGAGAAAATAATGATGATAATAATGATAATCCTCGGTGTCGATCGTAATTACTCGTACCATTATTATTATTATTGATGATTTTTTAAAAAAAATTTTATTAACTGTTTAATTGACAAATCTCTTTTCTATTTATTTATTTATTTATGTACATTATTAAATTTTAAAAATTCAAAAGTTTTCTAGCACGTGCGTGCGTGCATGTTTAAATGCAACGTTGCATGATTTCCTTTTTATTTCCGGTTTAAAAATGATTTATGTAATTTTAAACGGATTTATTTAACACTTTCTAAGAAATTTTTTTTTTTTTGTTTTTATTTTTATAAAAAAAAAATTTTCCGGATAGTTATGATGACAATGATTATAATAATGATAATAATGAAAATAAATAATAATAAATAATAATAATGATAATAAATAAATAAGTAAATAAATAAATCGTAAAGTTAGGGGTGAATGAAACGCAAAGTCGTCAATGTTGTTTCGTCTTAAGAAATGTACGTAAAGAAACTGTTATCATTGTTATCATTATCACGGTCACGTGTAGTTTTTGGTTTTACATTATCGATTTTTTACGAGTGTGCGAAATGCCAGGTATCGATTTATTATTTTATATCTTACCTTGTTTTTTTTTTTTTCTGTCGGAAAAGACGTTAACGTGCTGCGTGCGTTAACGGATACGATCCGTTACGTCACGGTAAGAACCGGGTCGAGGGTTTAAACCGCAAGACCGACAGCGACAACAACAACAACAAACGACAACAAGTAGTAAAAACTTTTTATCATTTAAAAAAAAATTGGTTTATATAAATAAATGTATAAAAATACAAAAATTTTTTTTTTTTTTTTTTGGTTTTTCCCGGTCATAAATTTTCATCGAAAACAATAAAAAAATTAAAAGCGTAAATTTTGTTTGCGTATTAAATAATTCATATCTTTTATGAAAAAAAAAAAAAAAATTGAATTGTGGCATTAGAAATTTAATAACGCATGTAAACCATGTAATCTTGTTAAGGATTTAAATTGAAAAGGTCACAAACTATTTTTTTATTGTTTTTTTTTTTTTTTTTTTATTAGAATTCGATGAAAATTCAATTTTCTATCTTTTTTTCTCTCTCTCTGTCTCTCTCGCTCTCTGTATTTCTCTCTTTTTCTTTATTTCTATTTCAGTTTTTTCCCTCTCTCTTCTCCTATCCTTTATATCATCCTCATTCACAGTTTTTCTCTTAGTCATTTCTTCTCTCTCTCTCTCTACCTCTCTTTCTCTCACACACGCTTTTCTTTTAGTCATTTTCTCTCTTTCTCTCTCTTTCACTTTCTCATTTCCCCCCTTTGTTTTTCATCATATTTCTCATTCTTCACCTCATTTTTTATTCAAGTTTTTCATGCTCTCTCTCTTTCTGCTCCTCTTCCTCTTTTTATTTTTCTTACTTTTTGCTTTTCAGTATTTTTCTCTCTCTCTCTTCTTTCCATTTAACTTTTTTTTTTTAAACAAATCCTTTCTCTTCGCTTTTCTTTGTATTTTTTTTACCCCACTCCTCTCTCCCGCCCTACTATCGTATTCTCTTTCTGTTTCCGTGTATCAGCCTTTGCATTTTTCTTTCACTCTCTCTCTCTCTCTCTCTACCTCTTTTTCTCCCCTCCCCTCTTTCTTTATCTCTATCTCGTCTCCCCGTTCGATTTTTCACTCATGAATTAACAAAAAAGCCTTTGAACAATTTTTTTTTTGTTTTATTATTATTATTTTTTTTGTAAATAAAAAAAAAAGAAAAAGGAAAATTATTATCGCCGAAAGGTTTTTATTTCCCCCTTTGGCTGTATACCAAATGCGCACGCAGCATAAACACTAGAAAAAACAAAAAAAGTACACCATAATGATAATTTTTTTTACGTGGAAAATTTTTGTGTTTGGATGTTTGGAGGGGGGAGGGAGGGAGGGAATAAGGAAAGAAGAAAGAAAGGAGGGGGTAATTTTTTAAGTAAAAAAAAATAACGTGACGATAAATATTTAACAAAAAAAAAAAAAAACTAAAATAAAATAAATTTTTTTTTTTTTTTGCTTGCGTATAAAATCTCATTAAAGATTTTTTTTTTTTACGACGCTTTTTTTTTTTTTTTATCAGGGATACGTAAAACCTTATTCTCATAACCTTTTAACCTTTTCCGTAATTTGTTTTTTTTTATTATTATTATTATTTTCTATTCTTATCCAATTTTCCCCAAAGTTAAAATCATCAATTTTTCTTTTTTTTTATTTAAATAAAAAATAAAAAGTTTTTCTGTTTTTCTGTTTTTTTTTGTTTTTTATGTGACAAAATAAATGATCCGTGAAAATTAAATACCTGAATTTTGTTCTTAAATCAACCGTACGGGGATAAAAAGTAGAAGAGAAAAAGGAGCAAGAAAAAGAAGAAGAAAAAGAAAAAACAAAAAAAAAAAAAGAAAATAAAATAAACTTGAAAAAAAGAAATTGAAAAAAGAAGAAAAAAAAAGAGGAGAAAGTGATTCGGTTGTTTAAATGTAACAAACAAACAAACAAACGATTCAAATATAACCATTTGTAACGTAAAAAAAAAGAAAATTTCATTTTCATAATTTACGATTTAAATTCTTCTTTAACGTCTTCTGCTACCGACTTGCTACGTATTTAATTTAAAATTCGTAAACGCGAAAAAAAAAAAATTTTTTTTTCTTTTTTTTTTATTTTTTTCCAAAGCGTTAAACGAAATATAATAATAATAATAATTGTTCGTTTGTTATTAAACATCGACGACAAATTATTTTTAATTCGATTTATGCGGGGGAGTAGCGGGTAGGGAGGTATAAGTAGGGGGATGGAGGAAAAAAAAAATTAAAAGGATATTTTGGGATTTTGATGCGTGTGGGTGTGTGGATGTGGGTGTGCGTGTGTGTGTGTAAGGACTAATTACTTTCTAATTAACTTTTTTATAAAAGGTTACCCCTTCCCCTCCCCGCCACCACCGCCGAATAACTAAATTAACGAGCGGAAGTTAATAAATGTCGGGCCCAAAGACAAAAAAAAAAAAACCACCACCACCACCGCCACCCTTGACAAAAAAAAAATTATTTCAAACAGCCAAAAGATAAGTTGTACGCGCGCACGCACGCACACACACACACACAAAAGTGAATTAAATTCGATTTTTATCTCTCTCTCTCTCTCTCTCTCTCTCACTCTCATCGTTTGTTTGTTTGTCTTTTTCAAACGTTTATCTCTCTTTCTGTCTCTCTCTCGTGCATAAAACCACCGAATGAGAAAAATTTTTTTTGGTGATATGCCAAAGATGAAAATGAAAATTCTGTTGTGAAAACTATACGAAAGATTGCCACACGGGATAAAATTTTTAACTTTTTTTTTTTTTTTTTCGGGAAAGGAAAAAAAGAGAGGGAAAAAAAAAAAAAATTAATAAAACGTAGAATTTTTTGCGAAGAAAAAGAAAAAGAAGAAAATGAAAGGAAGAAAGGAAGGAAGGAAGGAAGGAAAGAAAGTAATGGAGCAAAGAAAAACTAAAAAAAAAATGATGGTTTGGTTGAGTGAAAAAAAAAAAAAAAAAAAAAAACGTCAGACTTGATAATCCGCATTAAAGATTTTGGCGTCTGCAGATGTGGCGGAAGAAAATCTGGAAACCAGAAGAATTTTTTCTTTTTCTTTTAAAACTGGAAGCCCGTAATAAATTTTTTTTTTTTTTTTAATCGTGCCAAAAATTAAAAAAAAAAAAATTTTTTAATGAACTTTTACGAGTAAATAAATTCAACCGGTTGAATTTTGTTTTTTAAACGGAATCTATGACGTCACTTCCGGAAAAGTTACGTTATTTTGGAAAAAAAACATTACGATAAATTTTTATCGATTTTTTTTTTAAACTAAAAAAATAAAAATAAAAACGAGAGTAAAAAAATTTCGCGGGTTTTTTTTTTAAAAACGCACGTTACAATTTCCGGTTTCTATAAAAAAAAAAGATGGCGCGCGTTTAAAACGTTTTTGCGTTTTTTAAAAACGAATCGAAAAATCTTTTAAAAAGAATTTATGTAATTTTTTTATTCTTTTTTTTTTTGAAACACCACCCTTTTTCAAAACCGGAAATGAATATTTTAATAAATGTTTTTCCTTTTTTTTATTATTATCGTACCGGAAGTACAAACGTAAGACGCGTGAGGAAAAAAAAAGAGGAATTTTTTTTTTTTAAATTTTTCAATTAGTTTTTCACCTTTGATTGTTTGTTTTTTTGTTTGTTTATTTTCGAAATCAAAATGAGAGAGGAAAGAGGAAGAGGAGGAAAACAAATCAAAACGATGTCTTCTGCTTATACCGGATTTTTTTTTTTTATTTGACGTCATCATTTTCCTTTTTAATGTTTTTCACATTTTTTTGTTTTTTATTTTTTTTTTTTCTGTTTTCAATTTCAATTTTCTTTTCTTCTTTTCTTCATTTTTGTTTTTGTTTTTTTTGTTTTTCTTCACATTTATGTTTTCTTTTTTTTTCATTCTTTTTTTCCTTTTTTTTCCTTTTATTTT